GACAGATTTTGCCAGTGGCCAGTCGCAGTTACATACGGGTGACCCTTCTCAAGTATTGCTGCAGGCGATGAAATGGATTCTGTCTCTTTTTTCCATAATAAATTGTAGCACAGTAGGAATTTTGCAGGGACGAAAACAATGTCTGATCTTGCAGAATATGAATCTATGGGAGTATCAGCACAGACCTGTGAATCTTTGGGACTGGGCAGCAACACTGGGGCACAGGAACCCTGCAGAGGAAGCAAAGTTGTGGAAATTTCTCACAGGACTTTGTCTGCTCTTGTTCACTTCCCCATCAAAAGACTCTGTCTTGCTCTTGTATTAGACAAGCAGAGGACAATTCACAATTTCCTTGCCATACCCTGCTCATACACTTTGTTGATTCAAGACATTCTTCCTCTGTGTATGTGACTGCAACTGCTGGCTTAATGCTTTTTAAATGCTGGTTCTTGCTCTTAAGAGACAAACTGTGAAGCCACCACAGCCCCAGCAGCCCCACCATGAGCCCAGAAGCAACTTCTCAAGAATTCAGCTCACTCAAGAGATCCTTAAACTTCCCAGCAGCTCCACCAAACACCAAAAACTACCTAGTGACTCCAAGAGAGTAAATCCCAAAACGAATATTCACCCTATCTACCTAAAATTAGGCTCCTCAGCCACCAAAGTGGATCACCCGATCTATACCCCTACCATGAACCTGCCCACCTCTACCTAGTGCCTGCTGTGCATTGGTTTCCAAATGAGCTGCCAGACTGGTGAGGGGGAACGCTTGCACTGTGAAGCATTTTGGAGAAAAGAGACTGTTTTGAAAATAACAGCATTAATTTGTTTCCAATCAAGTTTGACATCAATAGTGATTTCAAATCACTTTGCAAATTGCGCCAGCCCCACTCTTCCCAGTTCCTCAAGATCGGGGTCTCTTGAACAAAAACCAGTTTGGTGGCCTTTTAAGAACTTAATGGACAAATAATAAATTGCAGAATCCATTTTTCCAGCAGAAAAGAATAAGGATTTTATGTAAAACACTGACAAAACAAAAACGACACACAAGGCATGATTCTGTTTTAGTGAACAGATGTCTAGCCTATTTGCAATTAATACAGCCCACTTCCATACAATCAGACTGTTTTAAATGCTTGGAACAAGATTTGAAAGTTCAAATGCAAATGTGTCTGATTTTATGGAGAATTAATGACATTGTATAAAAGCATGGTTCCTATTTTTATGAGACACCTATGAAAAATCTAGGCATCAAGATCAATTTATACAATTTATCATAAAAATTGGGAAGATAACATGAAAAGAAGAAATCATGATTTTGGTTTGGCAGAAACAATTCCAATGTTTTAAACTGAAATTTAGTTATAAGTTATACTTTAGAAACAGCTCAAATTACAGAAAACTATTCAGTTATCTGTAAAAATATTTACCCAGTGTTTGTAACTTCTATAGCAGTGCTTTTATATGGCTTTACAAACACTGGGGACACAAACAATTTTAAAGAAAAAGTAGTTCCCAGATGAAGAGAAGAAATTAAGGTTCTACACCTGACTAGGCCTAGCCAGGTACACGACCCAAAGGAAGTCAGATTTGTCAACTGGAAACACAGGGCTAACGTTCACTGTTTTCTAAAACATTTCTGATACTAATGAATGACTTGTACACAGGAATTGTTTCACACAAAAAAATATTCTGAGTTTTGGTAATGGAAACAAGGTGTGTGAAGGAATAATCACACCATCAAATTATTTTATGAGAAAAAAATAATGTACACCTACGAGTACAATTAACCCCTGACAAATGCAAAAATCAATGTATTTTTCATCAATTACAAATCGGATCATGGTTTCTTATCCTACAAGATGAGGTTTAGCAGTTTACAGTTCCTGGCATTTGACCAACAAAATCTCACAAAAACCTTAAGGAGTCTGCAGTTCCCTCTGCTGCAGCGGGAAATTAATTTTGCGTAACATCGTCATTAAAGCCGATATAATTCTACATTTAGTCTTGTTTATGCATAGTGTGATTAAAAGATTAATTGAAAAATCACTAGTGAAGATTGGGATTAAACAGCACCTTGAAATGCCATCATAAACTCCTTTTAAAACCAGCTGAGGATTTCACACAGCTCTGAAAGGTTTCAATTATTTATGTGTTTGGTCTGTGTAGCGTAAATCCAGACTAATGAGGTACAATTGCTGTGTATAAATCTAAGATATAAAAACACTCCTTATTGTCTGGAGGAAGCAGTAACCTCACAGGACCAGGAGGTAGCAACATTTCAAGACACAGCTCCGGTGCTCTCAGGAACAGGTTATTTTGCTTTTTGCTTCAACTTCTTGGCTTATGTGAAAGTTGTGCCCTGCTCTGGGAGAACCCAGCTTAACACCAAGGTTACTTGCCCAAAGACTCATACCGGCAGGCTCAACGGCTGCTAATTATTCCTCTTGAAACACCGGATGAATCTTAGACCTTCAAAGTCCCACCCCTACAGCGAAGAACATAAATTGATTTCCATGTGCACATGAAGTTGTAGAGTCTGGGGCTAAAACTTTCTGTATTAGGTCTTCTTCCTAAAGAGTATTTGTTTGGCAAAGCCTCCAGCTATTCTGAAGTTTCAGAGTATCTCACAGGCTCTCCCTTCCCCTTCTTCCCCATCTCCTTCCAAACATTTCTACATTCTTAAAATACGTATAGTTCTTACCAGTGCCTTTTAGGGTGAATACAGGCTTTTTCTGGCAAATTGAATGATTATATTTAAAGATGTTTTAACATAACAACGATTCCTCTGCGCCAAAGACCTTCATAAGCAACGGCAAGTATGATACGAGCAGCCCAAGGATGAAAATGGTTGCTATCATACAGTTAGTTAACTAACTCTGCGCAAACAGTATGGTTGTGAAGCATTTTTAAATATAATAAGCATTATCTGAATCCTTTGGTATCATGGTGAACCACACCGCTGCAAGGGAGCAACGCCAAAGCTAACAACTTGGGCTAAGTTCAGTGTGCGAAATCACAAGTACTGCAGAAACCTCCCTTCTGCTGGGGGAGGTGCTCTTCACGCTGCCCATCCTGCAGCACCTTTCACTGAGTGATTTGTGGCTGAAAACAGCAAAAGCTTTAGTAGCAGTCAGGGCCAGATGGAAAGTGCCATATTGGCAACATCCACTGAGACAGATGGGAAAGAGGGAAAACCTGCCTAAAAAAAAAAAAGATAAACCCATCACACAATCACATGCAAAAATACTTTAAAAACAATCTTTTTGATCTCTGATCCAAGGAAAATATGTGTGCCACTGGTTCCATACAGGGCTGTTATCTGGTAGCTACAATAATGCCCTTGATTTAGAGAGCAACTGCAACATGGAATTCACCAAATTACTGCTGCGCGCAAAAGGGGCTTCTTTTACAGCTACCGCCCTTCCAGCCCACCTTATTCCTTATCAGTCACATCCAAGATAATTTACCTAATTTCCTAGTTGCACCTGAATCTTGAAAAGCATCATCTGTTTTCCGACCTCAAAAAGCCATTAGAAGTGTAAGGCCCTTACCCCTCAAAAAGGGGCTTTAAGAAAATGGAAAGGGTTTCAAAGTAAGGAAGTAAAACCAGGCATTCTTCTATAGAAAAATAGTTAAAGTCAGCTTAAGAGGAAGTGCAAAAGCTTCCAAGACTTATAGCTTCTTAAGACTGCATTGATTAATTCAATTCTTTTCTGGAATATATTGTTCCACTTGGTGAATCCAACAATTGCAGATTAAATGTTTTAATGCCAGCTGTTTACGTTAGCCTCTGACTCAGTTAATCTCTTCCAAATTTGGGGCTGTTCAAAGAAAGTTAATAATGGGATGCCAGACAGTTGATTAATTAAAACTAAAGGTAATCACAGCTATACTTACTATAGAGAAATTAAAAGAACCTTTGAAAAATGTAGGCAAAAACCTAACCGTAACAAGTGTTTTACAGTCAACAAACTCTAAAAAACACATAATAATTTAAGGAGCAACCCTAACATTGATGTACATTGACTCAACAATTCTGTTTCGATAAAATATCTGATTTTCAGATTCATGTTACTGTTTGCTTGGAGACAAGAAAAACTCAGACATACACTCCACTGAGCCTTTTGTAATAGCTTATGTGAGAAAAGACAAAATAAGAGGAAGTGCCACGAAAAATCTGAGATGGAAAAGGCTGAATTGGTCTCAGTTCTTCACCAATACAGCACGTTTTCTAGTTCTACTTAAAATTTGGCAAAAGATGGGACTTCTGCCTTTCACTTTAGAGGAAAATCAGCATCCAACTGCCATGCTACAGATTCCACTTCCACATTGCTGCCTCAGAGTAAAGGCTTTAAAGACTTCTATAAGTACAACAGCTGCCTGCAAAAACTGATGTGAACAATAGGTTCTTCTGGAATGAAATCCTGCTTGGTCAGGCAGAAATAAGTCGAATGTATTGGAGTTGTTTATCTCTAGTCCAGACTTTCCTGCTCATTTACTTCAAAGGCAAATCCTTGACTTCATCATATAACAGAAATTCACTGACCCAAGAACAATTTGGACAAATTTAAATCATATTGGTTTCCTCCTCCTTTTCTTCCTCCTACCACTCTTTTCCTTCTTAATTATCATGATTAAGACTCATTCATTGCCAAGACTGCTGAAAAACTCAGTGAATATATGAGTCTGCACTCATATTTCTACAACCACATCTAACAATCTCTGTTGAAAGACAAAATTCTTCTTAGCATTCATTTGCCAAAACCAATAAAGATCCTACATTGCTGTGATGAATGAAGAACACTATGTTTCTGAAAAAAAAAATCTTTAATATAATTATCTTTATTTATAATTACATTATAATTTTATATATATATATACACACACACACAGAGTATTATCTTTATCTTCAATATAATTATCTTTAATATATTTTTAGGAACAGTAATCCAGTCCCGTAAGAAATCCATCTCAGGGGACCGAGTGATCCAACTCACCAGCAGCATTGCAGAGGTTCCATTTGGCCGGGACAGCTGGATAGACATTTCAGGGAACATCCTATCAATCCGATTGATCACATCGTCGACGTATCTACCAAACAAACCAAAGCAACAGAATTAATACAACCCGAAAAACAACGAGGTGCTGTGCTCCAATTGCTATTTTGCAAGGGATTAAAAATAATCAGGAAAAGAAAAAACACCTCAAGAAAGCTACACTTGCACAGCTGGTAAAGTCAGTCCACTTTTAAAAGTAACAAAAGAATGGGATTAGTTTGCATAAGAATCTTAATCTGCACTTCTGGCTGTGCATTAAAAAGTTTCCCCATTCACTCGCATGACTCATTACAGCTCACTTGCTGAAAAACAAAGTCAAAACATCCACGAGCCCAGAACTTCCTTAGCATGGTGAAAGAGGAGATGCGTAATAAGACAGCACTTCAGGATGAGTAAGCCACACATCAGTCAGTATGCACCTAACTAATTTTAAACATTACTTTTTTGTTTTATACAGTATGGGATTTTATACTGTTTCCTAAATGCAATTACTCCAGGCTCCACAAATGAATTCAGCTATCGCATGTGCATGAATAGAGATAACTGACTGAGAAACGGGCAAGGAGACATTCTGTGTTTCTTCATCAGTATGTGAACAGAACAGGTCTTACAGCCTTGCACACTATGAAGCAGGTTATTGCATAGCTTAAGTTTTCTTATTTTCCAAACTTTGCTCAATAATAAGTTAAAAACAATCAAAATACGGAGTTGCATAAAACAAGGGCGGCTTCCACACTGACACAGTCTGTAGGCATTAAGGAAGGAAAATTAAAGCAATTTAAAAACATACAAACAACAGTTCGATTTGGGCATTAAATCTTCTTGGGTCCTCCTGAAAAATCCCAGGGGACGTGTACATTTAATTCTTTAAAAATGTGATCCAGGCTTGTTGGGAGTAACCAATTTGTCAACTCCTTCTTAGATCTAAGACACTTTGGACTCAGAAGCCTCTTAATTTTGTATTGCTCTTCAAAAGCCAGTTGACAAAAAAAAGAAAATTAAAAAAAACCACACTAGAAGAAATAAAGCAGGCAGCCTTTTCCTTCTCTTCTCAGTCAAGAGGATGTCAGAGAAAATCCAAGACCAATATGATACAAGAGCATAGGTGTACGTGCCATTATTTTGCCCTTTTTGCCTCTCTTCAAGTAGACATCAGGTTTCCTGAGGACTCATCAGAACAGAAGGATTCTTCAGAGATGCATATATAATTACTAAATTAGCCCGACTACATGGCGGCCTCAAATATAAAATGACAAACAACCTAATCTAAGGCAAAATTCTTCTGTGGATATGCCCTTCAGAGAGGACATCTGGTAAAACATCTTGTGAAGTGATGGATATGATAAATCAGATGCAGCAAAGTAATGTAAAAGTGTAACTGGTGACGACTTGAGAGAAAGCTGAAGAACATGTGATAAAGACAAGATAAAGTGCGCTCCTGAGGCTGTCTGGAAAGAGGGTCAGAGAAAAAGCTGCTGTCTGGAACTTATTTTGCAGAACTGAAATACATTAATTTAGTGCCAAAATAAGCAGCCACAATTTGCACGTCTCCGTCCATCAGTTTTAGCTCAAAAACATGATAGTTCCTATTTATGTTACAGAGCCTCTTACGCAGTCTCAGAGAAGCGTAGTACTTAAGGATGGAGAAAAGTGTAATTTTACTTTGCCAATACGCACTTCTAACTTCTAATGTGCTTACCACATCTCGGGTTTCTCCTACTTACAAAAGACGCTGGTGGGAACAAGCACTTACTAACCCAGAAGAAAGAACGCAAAGCGGGGAAAAGCAAACGGAAACAAATTTGCAAGAGTCATTTGCCATATCTTAATCTTAAGGAAAAAAAAACTGCATGGAATTCTAAGAATGAAATAAAAGCTGAAATTACATGGAAATGGCTTCTCCTCTTGTGCTGGAGCAGGCATTGTTCCACCCACAAAGGCTGAACAGTGTCTAGACAAACTCCCTCCCCACAGCTTCTCTGTCACGCAAAGGATGCTCAAAAAGGTCTGAAGACAAACCACAAACAACTGCAAAAGATCATACTCCATAATCCTCATAATTCAATTACAGCAAGGTAGTTAAACTCTTTACAGACAGCATTTCATCTTACTTGATATATTATCTTTGGAGGTCTAAAATAATACCACCTTATAAATGTGCAACATCCTAAGTGAGTATCATTCTATTCAAAAAAGCTCCAAGTAACTTCATCAGTGCCTGCATCCTACTCCAGACCTGTATGCATCCTAGTCAGAACAACCGTTGATCAACAAGACTTCCAAACACTAAGTTAGATCAAATACCAAAGCGATTTTACTCATGGAGTTCTACTGCTCAGCGGGAGGATTTTTTAAAGAAGCTCTAATAGTAGATTTATACCAACTTCCCTCTCCCATTTTTTCTCATCCTTCTCCCCTTCATGACACAGCCTCACAATTTTTAAGAAGGTTTTAAAATTATATTTTTGACAGAAAATCTTTCTTTTAAAAATGATTAATAGCATCATTTAGGAGTACACGTCTGACGGTGCAACAAAACCAGTGAGATCAGACCTGACATCAGGTGTTTTCTGAGCCTGTCAACACTAAAAAACATTTTCATTTTAATGTAGTAGAATACCTTTTTCTATGAACACGCTACAAAAGTCAAAACCCAACAGTCTACTTCATGAGCATTAGCAAATGCTAAAATGAATTCAAAATGTTACACTCCAAACAAAGTCTTGTTATGAGCATGCAGAAAAATCAACACTGGAAATAAAGGAACAGAGACATGACTGGAAAAACTTCTCTGCTATTTTGCCAATAAGCGTACAAATAAATCCTGTAGCGTGTATCAGAGGAACAGTGCCTGGGACAGTAGACACTTTTGAAGCCAGTAAGAAAATACTGTTTATAAGGCAGGAATTATGCAAAATGCTTAATGAGAAGTTCAACTCTAAAACATCAGCTTGACAAGGTAGAAATAATTCAGGAACCACCTTTGTAGATAAATGGTTTTGTAACATCTCTGATTCACACAAAAGCCCCCCAGAAGACAGTAACATAGAAAAGTAATTCATTAGAAATGCCTTTCAATTCCACGCTGGACAGATGGCTTAGTTCTCTAATGTGACCTCTCTTCTTTCTTTCTTTATTTTTTTTAAACTGGATTAGATCCAGTGATCCAATGGTAGTGTGATGTTTAACAGCTTAGACAAGATTTAAATAGCATTTATCCCACACGGTGTTTAACTTGCATGCTGTTCATTTTTTCCACTCAATAGAACAATTTAAAGATTGGAAATAGAAGTATTAACAGTAATTTCTGAGGAGGTCTTTTGGAAGAAAGAAAATTCTGCTAAAATATCTTGGAGAGCCAGAGAAAAAAATACATATTTGTACTATGAAAGAACGTAATCTTTCCTATACACTCAGTGCAAAACACCACATACGAGATTAAGAGAAACTACAATTGTGTTGAATCCGGATTCATGACACTCTGGACAGCAACAGGGGAAACTCTCCACACATGCTCTCACTTATGAGCACAGCATTTACTTGCTCTCGGATTTTTTTAATATTTTTTTTTGGCTTTCAGTTGTTATTTTCAACACAGCTAATAACTGCCTTTCACAGGTCTGTATTTCAGAAGCATGGGCTGGCCCTGTAGACGCTCTCCAGCATATGCAGTGCTCACTAATGAAGGCATCGGTGCAAAGCGCCTGCCTGAGCTCTACTAAGACCCACGGAGCAGCTATTTTTTGCAGAACGAGGCTCACTGTGTAACTTAAAGCTTTTAGCAGGCGCAGGATTTTAAACACCGTAGATTTCATAGAGACCAAACAGTTTTCAGGCAACCTGGTTAGAGAAATATTATATTTTTAAACATACAAGGCAGACACAGTTGTACGATTTATTAATCAATGAATTAAAGTTTTAATTTGTGTCAGCTACCTGCTGAGCCAGACTCCACAGGCAGCAACTTCAAGTTGATAGGCGGCTTTTCAGAAGCATCAATTAACAACAGTTATTAAAAGAGTGACCTCTGCCAGCATTTGTGAGATGACACTTCCTGCTTGGATAGGCAAGGAAGAACGTGAAACGAAATTCAACAAATCTCACACTGAGAAAGTGTCTTCAAGTCTCAAGACTAAATTAGAGAGCTGGCACAATCCATGACATCTGTACATCAGGCCTGGAACTCTTTGCCTCTTTCCCCAAATTTCACAGGTTGTCTTGGGGGTTTTTTTGTAATTGTTAATTCAGGCTCATGTTTCCTGGCTCCAGTAATAAAATCACTCGCTTGTTCTGACTAACCTCTTCCCCAGCTACACACTTCCTTGCCAGGCTGCCTTCTCTTACAGCTAACACTGTCCTCTTGGCCTTTCTGAACAAACTGCTTCAGTGGTTTCCTCTTCCTTCTCACCCCATTTCCACCTTTCTGTTGGTGGAAGACTCCACCCAGGCTCCTCCTGGCTCATCTCATTTCCTTGAGTTACCTTTTCACCCGCACGCTAACTTGGTCTTCTGCTACCTCTTCGATGCCTCTGTTCCTACTGTGAAATCTTTATTCATGATAAGGGATAAAGGAAATATGTTAACTCTTTCAAATAACTGACTTCTAACTGCCACAAGGTAAGTTGACAGCAGAAGGAGCAAACCTGAGTCTCTCAGGTCTTCAGTTCTTCAGTCTTCGGGATACAACGTTATGATGGGTACGAGGGAGTTTTGGCCCTGAAGTGTCTTGGTAACGTGAATCCACAGGTGTGGGAAGAAGCAAGCCAGAATGCAGAGATTGTAAGGCACAAATTTGCTAAGATACCTTGGATAAAGGTCCCTGGACAAAGATCCCAAGGGACAAATTTGGCAAAGTGAGACAACACACATCTGAAAGCACTGAAAGATTCAACTCCAAACTGAAAGAAGGCAGCTTTCCATGTATTCTTGCAAGTTGGTTTGTTTTCACCTTTGCTAGGGATGTTATTTCGGTCACATTGGGATTATGTTTTATTATTGAGTGGATGCAAAAGATTAAGTTATGTGCCTAAATAG